AGTTGTGGCACGTGGGACGCTGCCTCAGCGTGGCCTGATGGGCGGCACTAGGTCCACACCCAGGATCCGAACCCTTGAAACCCTGGGCTGCCGAAGCAGAGCAAGAGAACTTAAGCACTTGACCACAGGGTCAGCCCTGCTTCATCATTTTTAATGACTCTGTAATAATAACAATATAAACAATAACAGTAATAATGACAGCTAATATCCGCTGAGTCCTGGTAGTGTGCCCGGCGCTGCTTAAATGCTTCATACGGATTCACTCATTCCGTCTCTGCAGCAACTCTCCAGCTAGGTTCTTATCTCCATTTTATAGGGAAAGAAACTGAGGAAGAGGTGACGTTACTTAATTAATACATTTACGAATTATTTATGTCGCAGAGCCGGGATTTGAACCCGGGACTCTGTGTTCAGAGCTATGGTCTCCCCACTCTGGGCGTCCACGTGGCACACGGTTCTACGTAGGGCATTGAGCCCGCCCTCCTCTGCGCATGGTGATTGTGACTTGAGGCTTTTACAGTTTAAGCAGTGCTGTCACGAATACCCCTGTGTGTGCATGTGTGGCTTTGTACACTCAAGAACAGTAACATTAATTATTGTCTAATTAATTATATTGTCTGTTATAACATATAGTTGTCGATTATATTGTATCATATGCAATATATTATTTATTATTTAATATATTATTATATTATATTATAATTATATTATTTTATTTATATATTTATTTATAATATATTTATATATTATGTAAGTATAATATATAAATATAAATATATATTTATTTAATATATTAATATAATAATATATTATTTATTATTATAATATATACTATTATATTATTATGTATTATTATAATAATATATAATAATAAAATAATCATTTTTGAGAGCTTAAAGTAGGCTAGGGTCTGCTCGAAGCCCATTTTGTCATTTCGAACCATATGGAATTGCTATTCTTTAAAGGTGAGAAACAGTCAAATATTGACATTTTGAGATGGTTCAACCTAATATATATATGTTCCTGAGATTATATGTATAATATGTATGTGTGTGTATAAATAATCTATCATTCCATTTTTCACTCAGAAGAACCTGCAGAAGTGGGTCCTGTTATTGTTTGAGTAAATGGTTAGCAGATCTGTAACTTTCTAGCTGGTTCCGCGGAAGCCTGATAAGGTGGGGCGCCAGCTGTGTTGCCAGGCAACATGACCTACAGTGAAGGTGACCCTTATAAGTCAATCACAGATCTGTAAATCCTTGGTGGGCAGCCGTGTCCATTCCTGTGGAGTCATTGCCTGAGTTATTGGCTCCTGTGGACACGGGTCTTCTAAGGCCTGGGGGCCCCTGTCCCCACCGACGTGGATCTCCTCTCCCCTGGCACCAGGTGCGCAGGGCAGCGGGACGGTCCTCCCTTCACTGAGGGGAATCCAGCCTGAGAAGGGCAATGATCGCAAAGTCACATGCAGTAAGGGTCAGAGCTAGGCAGGAGCCAAGTCTGCCTGCCTCCCAGGCTGTGCCTTTCGGGAGATGAGGGTCCCCAGGAACCCGTCAGAATCCGACTGGGCACCCTGCTTAGCACTCCTCCAGAGGGAGCACTGGGGACCTCAAAGCATGTGAGAACCAGGGAGTATTATTGACTCAGCCAGAGCAGCATGAACAAGCGGATGCATGAGTGCATGAATGAACCCGTTACTCCTCCTTGCCCCTCCTCTCTCTCCTCTGAGGCCTATTCACCCCTTCTCAATTTCACCCCTGACTTCCCGCATCACGGGATGGCGAAGAGTACTGACTGCTTGGGATCAAATACCTGTTCTGCCACAGCCTAGCTGGCTGAACCTAGACACGTCTCTGTGCCTCACTTTACTTAGCTGCAAAATGGGAATAATAACAGCATGCATTGGTTAATGCTTTAAAGTGCTTAGTGGGTGCCTGACACACAGTCGGTGGGCTGCTGTTACTCTGATTATAATTATAATGACTAGTATTATTATATGTATTATCCTTCTTCCACCCACTCCCACCCTCAACTCTGGTTCTTGTGATCTTATACCCACCTCCTCCCTGATGTCTCCGTCTTCATCCCTCGTCCTCAGTCCTCCCACCAAAAGCCTTCAGCGGGCCCCCGAGCCTCCTCACCATGGCCCACAAGTCTCTACATGATCTGGCCCTGCCCACCTCTCACCACTCTCCCCATACTCACTCTGTGCAGCTGCGGAGTGCTGACCTGCCAATATCCCATCCTTGTTCCTGCCTCAGGACCTTTGCACTTGCTGATCCTCCCACCTGGAACACTTCCTCTCAGTCTTCTCTGGTCAACTCTTATCCTTTGGGCCTTAGGGTCAGCGTCTGGAAGGTCCTCTTTTATAACACCCTATTCTTTTCACTCACAGCATTTCTGATGACACACTCTGTGTGATGGCTTGTTCAGTTCCTACAGCGTCAATGGCATGCAGACAAGGCCTGGGTCCATCTTACTCACCTGTTTCCTCAGTGCCAAGATTCTGAGTTCTCTCAGCCAGAAAGTGCTGGAATATGGGTTGAAGGAAGGAGAGAGTGCAGAGGAACTCAGGACTGGCCTTCCTCTCTGTCAAGGGGCGCGAACCATCCTGACTCCCAGGGCTTTTAGAAGCTTAGGTGGCTCTGCAGAGTTCCAGGTACGCTGTTGGGCACATAAGGAGCACTTGATACATATTGGCTGTTACTGTTTTTATTTTGTTTGTTTTTTGTTTTTTTCCGAGGAAGATCAGCCCTGAGCTAACATCTGCCAATCCTCCTCTTTTTTTCTGAGGAAGACTGGCCCTGAGCTAACATCCGTGCCCATCTTCCTCTACTTTATATGGATGCCTACCACAGCATGGCTTGCCACGCGGTGCCACGTCCACACCCAGGATCCAAACCGGCAAACCCCGGGCCGCCAAAGCAGAATGTGCTCACTTAACCGCGGTACCACCGGGCCAGCCCCAGCTGTTACTGTTTTTAAAAACTTTATTATAGGGTGTCGCCCGGTGGCATAGTGGTTAAGTTCACATGCTCCACTTTGGTGGCCTGGAGTTCGAGGGTTCAGATCCCGGGTGTGGACCTACACACCACTCATCAGGCTATGCTGTGGCAGGGTCCACATACAAAATAGAGGAAGATTGGCACAGATGTTAGCTCAGGACCAATCTTCCTCACCAAAAAAATACCAAACCTTATTATGAAAAATAACACACATATAGAAAATCACATCAAACACACACACAGCTTAATTATTATATAAGAACACTCAGTAACTGCCACCTGTGTCAGGGGATACAAGTGGCAGCCACTCCAGAAGGCCACTGCTTGCCCCCTCAATGACAACCCTCAGCTGCCTCCTTAGAATAACCACATTTCTAGTAGTATCTGTCTTACATTTCTTTAAAGTTCTGTCCATTAGGTGTCTATCGCTAAACACTATAGTTTTGTCGTACTTTTTGGTGGATCTCTCTTTTAAGTTTCCTTTAATCCATAGATCCCCCTCCATTTCTTTTTTGTCCCTTGCGATTTATTTGGTGAAGAACCAAATGGCTGTTCTGTAGAGTTTCCCAGGCATGGTTTGCTGACTGCGACCGTGGGGGCACTGTCCCCTTGCTCTCTTTACTGCTCACGTTCCGCTTCGGCGGCCCACTGTTCGCCAGCCCAGATCCTGTGTGCGGATATGGCACCACTTGGCAAGCCATGCTGTGGTAGGCGTCCCACATATAAAGTAGAGGAAGATGGGCACGGATGTTAGCTCAGGGCCAGTCTTCCTCAGCAAAAAGAGGAGAATTGGCGGCAGCTGTTAGCTCAGGGCTAATCTTCCTCAAAAAAAAGAAAAAAGAGAGACAGACTTGTCTTCCTTTAATATTTGGTTACCCAGGGGTATGGTTTTTGTAGGAAAGGCAGGAAGAATGCTGGATGGTTTCACTTTATTCACCTGTCTTCAAAATTAAGAGTTGGTTGGGTGCTGGCCTGGTGGCATAGTGGTTAAGTTTGCACGATCCGCTTTGGCGGCCTGGGATTTGCCTGTTCGGATCCTGGCTGTGGACCTATGCACCACTTGGCAAGCCATGCTGTGGCAGGAGTCCCACATATAAAGTAGAGGAAGATGGGCACGGATGTTAGCTCAGGGCCAGTCTTCCTCAGCAAAAAAAATTTTTAAAAATTTTAAGAGTTGGTTCTCTTGCATCCTCTCAAGGTAGCCAACTTGATTTTTCCTTTACTGTTATGAACTCACGGATTAAATATGTTTGATGAGTTATGATCTATAGCCATGAGTATCCTTCTTGGTACTCAAATCCTACAAGTTATTATTTTCATTATTCTTTATTATCCATGCAGAGCTGTTGCTGTTTTTTCTTTAAAAAAATGATTTCAGTTTTTATATCTTTATTTATTTCTCTCAAATAAGTTTATTTTCAGTTTTTGGTAATTTTTTAATTTTGAAATAATTTAAGACATGAAAAATCACAGAAATAGTAGAAAGAATTCCTGTGTACCTGTCACCCAGATTCTGTAATTAGCATTTTACCACATGTGACATTTGCTTTATTATTCTTTCTCTCTCTGTGCGCGCGCACACACACACACACTCAATTTATGATTCTTTTCTGGAGCATGACTCCCCTTTACCCCTAAATACTTCTACATTTATTACCCAAGGTCAAGGCTGTTCTCTTACATAACCACAGCCCGGGGATCAAATTCAGGAAACTAACATCGAGACCATACTGTTAACATCCACAGATCTTATTATGTTTTGTCAGTTGTCCCACTAATGTTTTTTCTAGAAAAACAAAAAAAATTTTTCTGGTGCAAGAACACAGGTTGAGTTTAGGCATCAGATTTATTTTTTTTTAAAAGCTAACATTCCCTCATTCAAGGTTCAAAGTGCGCCGGGGTACATTCAGAGAAACGACTCTCCCGCCGCTGTTTCCCGGGGCGGCCAGGGTTCCCCATTTTGCATGTCTTCCTGGGGATCTTCTGCGGTGACACAGTCGGTCCTGTGTATCCTTCCCCTCTTTTTGTGCATTATGTATATTCTTTACACTGTTCTGTGCTTGCTTTCATCTTGAGATTAGTTTCTATCTGGATATAAAGAAAAGAGCGTCCTTCTCCTTTTTATATGCTGCGGAGTTCTCTGGGTGCGGACAATCCTTGGTTTATTTACCGCCCCATGCTGATGAGCACTTAGGTGGTCTCGCGGCTTTGCGGGAGATGACCTTGAACTCAGGCTATTTTGCACACGTATGAGTGTATCCATAGGATCCAGTCCTAGAAGTGGAATCAGGGCTCAAAAGTTGATGTATTTGTCATGGAAAAAAAAAAGCCAAGTTGGCCTCCATTTAGGTTGTTCCCATTGAACCCCCCCCCGCCGACCCCGCAGTGTGTGGGAAAGCATCTGGGTTTCCCACATCCCTACCAACGCGGGTTGTTTGGTTGGTTTTTTCACAGTTTTATCGAGATGTAATTCACATACCTTCAGTTCACTATCAAGATGTAATTCACATACCACACAATTCGCCCATTGAAAGTGCACAGTTCGGTGGGTTTTAGTGTATGCACAGAGTTGTGCAGCCCATCTCCGTCAATTTTGGAGCATACTCATCACCCCCAGAAGAAACCCTGCACCCTTTAGCTGTCACCCCTCATCCCTCTCTGGCCCCAGCCCCTGGCGAGCACTTAAGTTCCTGCTCTGTGGACTTGCCCACTCTGACGGGACACTGTGTGGTCCTTTGTGATGGCTCCTTTCACTCAGCATCACGTTTACAGTAGCTTTTTGATCGGCGCCAGTTAGACGGTGGTGTTACTTGGCAGACCTCCGACTCACAGTTGACACTGAGCATCCTATCCTGTGTGCACGGGCCTTGTGTGTTTTCAGGGCTCCATCGGCCTCCAGAGGACTGGAAGCCTGCCCCGGAAGAGGGGAGACAGGGCGAGCCAGAGGGGATCCCCCGACCTCTGTCCTTCCATTGTACTGGTGAGAACCCCTCCCACTGCCCACCCTCCTCCCCGTCACCACCCTTCCTGCAGCGCAGGATGGAGGAACCTAGACGCCTGTTGTGGGGAGAGGTGGAGGGGTTTGGACTAGGGAGAATCCCAGCCTCCTGGGCCCATCCTTTCTCCTCCAGGACCCCTGGAGGCCTCGGCCCTCCCGCCAGCAGCCGCAGACTCCCGGAGACACCCCTCTATCAGCTGCTGAACTGCGGCCCCGGGAATAGGTGAGACGTCATAGGGAAAGTAGGGGGATGGGGGGAAGAGGCCGGGCCGGCTGTGACTGCCGTGGTCTCTGTTCCCTCCTCCAGCTGTGGGGCCGTCCACCCAGACATCGCCCGCATGGAGCGGCTCCTGCAGCAGGCCATGGCGGAGAGGGAGCGGCTGCTCAAGGCCAGGGTGAGACCCCACCCTCCTCCTTAGGGTCTGGAGATCCAGCCCCTTCCTCCCTCAGACCCAGGAGCCCAGGCCCCCAGCCCCTCCTCCCTCAGACCCAGGAGTCCATCCCCCCGCCCCTCCTCCCTCAGACCCAGGGGTCCAGGCCCCCAGCCCCTCCTCCCTCGACCCAGGAGTCCAGGCCCCAGTCCCTCCTCCCTCTGACCCAGGGGTCCAGGCCCCCAGCCCCTCCTCCCTCAGACCCAGGGGTCTATCCCCCAGCCCCTCCTCCCTCAGACCCAGGAGTCCCGGCCCCCAGCCCCTCCTCCCTCAGACCCAGGGGTCCAGGCCCCCAGCCCCTCCTCCCTCTGACCCAGGGGTCCAGGCCCTCAGCCCCTCCTCCCTCTGACCCAGGGGTCCAGGCCCCCAGTCCCTCCTCCCTCAGACCCAGGGGTCCAGGCCCCCAGCCCCTCCTCCCTCAGACCCAGGGGTCCAGGCCCCCAGCCACTCCTCCCTCAGACCCAGGGGTCCAGGCCCCAGCCCTCCTCCCTCAGACCCAGGGTCCAGGCCCCCAGCCCCTCCTCCCTCAGACCCAGGGTCCAGGCCCCAGCCCCTCCTCCCTCAGACCCAGGGGTCCAGGCCCCCAGCCCCTCCTCCCTCAGACCCAGGGGTCCAGGCCCCCAGCCCCTCCTCCCTCAGACCCAGGGGTCCAGGCCCCCAGCCCCTCCTCCCTCTGACCCAGGGGTCCAGGCCCCCAGCCCCTCCTCCCTCAGACCCAAGGGTCCAGGCCCCAGTGAAAATAAACTGCTACAAGGGAGAATGTGTAATGTTCGCAGAGTTCATTCAAGCTCCAGCTCTCTTTTAGAATTATGAGCGCTCATTGTCTTAGATTTCTATTAGATAGAGAAACACAAAGCCGTTAGAGTAGAGAATGAGATACGAAGGTTATGGTCTCATATCCTCATGAACCTTCAACTTCGGCCTCTACCTACAGGCACATAGACCTCTGCACCACAACAAGAAGGTTCTCAATTGCCTGTTGCTCGTCCCGCAACAGAGTTTGAGTGTGAGCTGGGACCAGAACTTCTTCCGCTGCGTCTGAGTGCTGAGGAACTCGGGTCCTGGCATGCTCCGTCAGAGGGAGGAGGGACTGGGGGCCTGGACTCCTGGGTCCGAGGGAGGAGGGGCTGGGGGCCTGGACCCCTGGGTCTGAGGGAGGAGGGGCTGGGGGATGGACTCCTGGGTCTGAGGGAGGAGGGGCTGGGGGCCTGGGCTCCTGGGTCTGAGGGAGGAAGGGGCTGGATCTCCAGACCCTAAGGAGGAGGGTGGGGTCTCACCCTGGCCTTGAGCAGCCGCTCCCTCTCCGCCATGGCCTGCTGCAGGAGCCGCTCCATGCGGGCGATGTCTGGGTGGACGGCCCCACAGCTGGAGGAGGGAACAGAGACCACGGCAGTCACAGCCGGCCCGGCCTCTTCCCCCCATCCCCCTACTTTCCCTATGACGTCTCACCTATTCCCGGGGCCGCAGTTCAGCAGCTGATAGAGGGGGTGTCTCCGGGAGTCTGCGGCTGCTGGCGGGAGGGCCGAGGCCTCCAGGGGTCCTGGAGGAGAAAGGATGGGCCCAGGAGGCTGGGATTCTCCCTAGTCCAAACCCCTCCACCTCTCCCCACAACAGGCGTCTAGGTTCCTCCATCCTGCGCTGCAGGAAGGGTGGTGACGGGGGAGGAGGGTGGGCAGTGGGAGGGGTTCTCACCAGTACAATGGAAGGACAGAGGTCGGGGGGATCCCCTCTGGCTCGCCCTGTCTCCCCTCTTCCGGGGCAGGCTTCCAGTCCTCTGGAGGCCGATGGAGCCCTGAAAACACACAAGGCCCGTGCACACAGGATAGGATGCTCAGTGTCAACTGTGAGTCGGAGGTCTGCCAAGTAACACCACCGTCTAACTGGCGCCGATCAAAAAGCTACTGTAAACGTGATGCTGAGTGAAAGGAGCCATCACAAAGGACCACACAGTGTCCCGTCAGAGTGGGCAAGTCCACAGAGCAGGAACTTAAGTGCTCGCCAGGGGCTGGGGCCAGAGAGGGATGAGGGGTGACAGCTAAAGGGTGCAGGGTTTCTTCTGGGGGTGATGAGTATGCTCCAAAATTGACGGAGATGGGCTGCACAACTCTGTGCATACACTAAAACCCACCGAACTGTGCACTTTCAATGGGCGAATTGTGTGGTATGTGAATTACATCTTGATAGTGAACTGAAGGTATGTGAATTACATCTCGATAAAACTGTGAAAAAACCAACCAAACAACCCGCGTTGGTAGGGATGTGGGAAACCCAGATGCTTTCCCACACACTGCGGGGTCGGCGGGGGGGGGGTTCAATGGGAACAACCTAAATGGAGGCCAACTTGGCTTTTTTTTTTCCATGACAAATACATCAACTTTTGAGCCCTGATTCCACTTCTAGGACTGGATCCTATGGATACACTCATACGTGTGCAAAATAGCCTGAGTTCAAGGTCATCTCCCGCAAAGCCGCGAGACCACCTAAGTGCTCATCAGCATGGGGCGGTAAATAAACCAAGGATTGTCCGCACCCAGAGAACTCCGCAGCATATAAAAAGGAGAAGGACGCTCTTTTCTTTATATCCAGATAGAAACTAATCTCAAGATGAAAGCAAGCACAGAACAGTGTAAAGAATATACATAATGCACAAAAAGAGGGGGAAGGATACACAGGACCGACTGTGTCACCGCAGAAGATCCCCAGGAAGACATGCAAAATGGGGAACCCTGGCCGCCCCGGGAAACAGCGGCGGGAGAGTCGTTTCTCTGAATGTACCCCGGCGCACTTTGAACCTTGAATGAGGGGAATGTTAGCTTTTAAAAAAAAATAAATCTGATGCCTAAACTCAACCTGTGTTCTTGCACCAGAAAAATTTTTTTTGTTTTTCTAGAAAAAACATTAGTGGGACAACTGACAAAACATAATAAGATCTGTGGATGTTAACAGTATGGTCTCGATGTTAGTTTCCTGAATTTGATCCCCGGGCTGTGGTTATGTAAGAGAACAGCCTTGACCTTGGGTAATAAATGTAGAAGTATTTAGGGGTAAAGGGGAGTCATGCTCCAGAAAAGAATCATAAATTGAGTGTGTGTGTGTGTGCGCGCGCACAGAGAGAGAAAGAATAATAAAGCAAATGTCACATGTGGTAAAATGCTAATTACAGAATCTGGGTGACAGGTACACAGGAATTCTTTCTACTATTTCTGTGATTTTTCATGTCTTAAATTATTTCAAAATTAAAAAATTACCAAAAACTGAAAATAAACTTATTTGAGAGAAATAAATAAAGATATAAAAACTGAAATCATTTTTTTAAAGAAAAAACAGCAACAGCTCTGCATGGATAATAAAGAATAATGAAAATAATAACTTGTAGGATTTGAGTACCAAGAAGGATACTCATGGCTATAGATCATAACTCATCAAACATATTTAATCCGTGAGTTCATAACAGTAAAGGAAAAATCAAGTTGGCTACCTTGAGAGGATGCAAGAGAACCAACTCTTAAAATTTTTAAAAATTTTTTTTGCTGAGGAAGACTGGCCCTGAGCTAACATCCGTGCCCATCTTCCTCTACTTTATATGTGGGACTCCTGCCACAGCATGGCTTGCCAAGTGGTGCATAGGTCCACAGCCAGGATCCGAACAGGCAAATCCCAGGCCGCCAAAGCGGATCGTGCAAACTTAACCACTATGCCACCAGGCCAGCACCCAACCAACTCTTAATTTTGAAGACAGGTGAATAAAGTGAAACCATCCAGCATTCTTCCTGCCTTTCCTACAAAAACCATACCCCTGGGTAACCAAATATTAAAGGAAGACAAGTCTGTCTCTCTTTTTTCTTTTTTTTGAGGAAGATTAGCCCTGAGCTAACAGCTGCCGCCAATTCTCCTCTTTTTGCTGAGGAAGACTGGCCCTGAGCTAACATCCGTGCCCATCTTCCTCTACTTTATATGTGGGACGCCTACCACAGCATGGCTTGCCAAGTGGTGCCATATCCGCACACAGGATCTGGGCTGGCGAACAGTGGGCCGCCGAAGCGGAACGTGAGCAGTAAAGAGAGCAAGGGGACAGTGCCCCCCACGGTCGCAGTCAGCAAACCATGCCTGGGAAACTCTACAGAACAGCCATTTGGTTTCTTCACCAAATAAATCGCAAGGGGACAAAAAAAGAAATGGAGGGGGGATCTATGGATTAAAGGAAATTAAAAGAGAGATCCACCAAAAAGTACGACAAAACTATAGTGTTTAGCGATAGACACCTAATGGACAGAACTTTAAAGAAATGTAAGACAGATACTACTAGAAATGTGGTTATTCTAAGGAGGCAGCTGAGGGTTGTCATTGAGGGGGCAAGCAGTGGCCTTCTGGAGTGGCTGCCACTTGTATCCCCTGACACAGGTGGCAGTTACTGAGTGTTCTTATATAATAATTAAGCTGTGTGTGTGTTTGATGTGATTTTCTATATGTGTGTTATTTTTCATAATAAGGTTTGGTATTTTTTTGGTGAGGAAGATTGGTCCTGAGCTAACATCTGTGCCAATCTTCCTCTATTTTGTATGTGGGACCCTGCCACAGCATAGCCTGATGAGTGGTGTGTAGGTCCACACCCGGGATCTGAACCCTCGAACTCCAGGCCACCAAAGTGGAGCATGTGAACTTAACCACTATGCCACCGGGCGACACCCTATAATAAAGTTTTTAAAAACAGTAACAGCTGGGGCTGGCCCGGTGGTACCGCGGTTAAGTGAGCACATTCTGCTTTGGCGGCCCGGGGTTTGCCGGTTTGGATCCTGGGTGTGGACGTGGCACCGCGTGGCAAGCCATGCTGTGGTAGGCATCCCATATAAAGTAGAGGAAGATGGGCACGGATGTTAGCTCAGGGCCAGTCTTCCTCAGAAAAAAAGAGGAGGATTGGCAGATGTTAGCTCAGGGCTGATCTTCCTCGGAAAAAAACAAAAAACAAACAAAATAAAAACAGTAACAGCCAATATGTATCAAGTGCTCCTTATGTGCCCAACAGCGTACCTGGAACTCTGCAGAGCCACCTAAGCTTCTAAAAGCCCTGGGAGTCAGGATGGTTCGCGCCCCTTGACAGAGAGGAAGGCCAGTCCTGAGTTCCTCTGCACTCTCTCCTTCCTTCAACCCATATTCCCAGCACTTTCTGGCTGAGAGAACTCAGAATCTTGGCACTGAGGAAACAGGTGAGTAAGATGGACCCAGGCCTTGTCTGCATGCCATTGACGCTGTAGGAACTGAACAAGCCATCACACAGAGTGTGTCATCAGAAATGCTGTGAGTGAAAAGAATAGGGTGTTATAAAAGAGGACCTTCCAGACGCTGACCCTAAGGCCCAAAGGATAAGAGTTGACCAGAGAAGACTGAGAGGAAGTGTTCCAGGTGGGAGGATCAGCAAGTGCAAAGGTCCTGAGGCAGGAACAAGGATGGGATATTGGCAGGTCAGCACTCCTGCAGCTGCACAGAGTGAGTATGGGGAGAGTGGTGAGAGGTGGGCAGGGGCCAGATCATGTAGAGACTTGTGGGCCATGGTGAGGAGGCTCGGGGGCCCGCTGAAGGCTTTTGGTGGGGAGGACTGAGGACGAGGGATGAAGACGGAGACATCAGGGAGGAGGTGGGTATAAGATCACAAGAACCAGAGTTGAGGGTGGGAGTGGGTGGAAGAAGGATAATACATATAATAATACTAGTCATTATAATTATAATCAGAGTAACAGCAGCCCACCGACTGTGTGTCAGGCACCCACTAAGCACTTTAAAGCATTAACCAATGCATGCTGTTATTATTCCCATTTTGCAGCTAAGTAAAGTGAGGCACAGAGACGTGTCTAGGTTCAGCCAGCTAGGCTGTGGCAGAACAGGTATTTGATCCCAAGCAGTCAGTACTCTTCGCCATCCCGTGATGCGGGAAGTCAGGGGTGAAATTGAGAAGGGGTGAATAGGCCTCAGAGGAGAGAGAGGAGGGGCAAGGAGGAGTAACGGGTTCATTCATGCACTCATGCATCCGCTTGTTCATGCTGCTCTGGCTGAGTCAATAATACTCCCTGGTTCTCACATGCTTTGAGGTCCCCAGTGCTCCCTCTGGAGGAGTGCTAAGCAGGGTGCCCAGTCGGATTCTGACGGGTTCCTGGGGACCCTCATCTCCCGAAAGGCACAGCCTGGGGAGGCAGGCAGACTTGGCTCCTGCCTAGCTCTGACCCTTACTGCATGTGACTTTGCGATCATTGCCCTTCTCAGGCTGGATTCCCCTCAGTGAAGGGAGGACCGTCCCGCTGCCCTGCGCACCTGGTGCCAGGGGGAGAGGAGATCCACGTCGGTGGGGACAGGGGCCCCCGGGCCTTAGAAGACCCGTGTCCACAGGAGCCAATAACTCAGGCAATGACTCCACAGGAATGGACACGGCTGCCCACCAAGGATTTACAGATCTGTGATTGACTTATAAGGGTCACCTTCACTGTAGGTCATGTTGCCTGGCAACACAGCTGGCGCCCCACCTTATCAGGCTTCCGCGGAACCAGCTAGAAAGTTACAGATCTGCTAACCATTTACTCAAACAATAACAGGACCCACTTCTGCAGGTTCTTCTGAGTGAAAAATGGAATGATAGATTATTTATACACACACATACATATTATACATATAATCTCAGGAACATATATATATTAGGTTGAACCATCTCAAAATGTCAATATTTGACTGTTTCTCACCTTTAAAGAATAGCAATTCCATATGGTTCGAAATGACAAAATGGGCTTCGAGCAGACCCTAGCCTACTTTAAGCTCTCAAAAATGATTATTTTATTATTATGTATTATTATAATAATACATAATAATATAATAGTATATATTATAATAATAAATAATATATTATTATATTAATATATTAAATAAATATATATTTATATTTATATATTATACTTACATAATATATAAATATATTATAAATAAATATATAAATAAAATAATATAATTATAATATAATATAATAATATATTAAATAATAAATAATATATTGCATATGATACAATATAATCGACAACTATATGTTATAACAGACAATATAATTAATTAGACAATAATTAATGTTACTGTTCTTGAGTGTACAAAGCCACACATGCACACACAGGGGTATTCGTGACAGCACTGCTTAAACTGTAAAAGCCTCAAGTCACAATCACCATGCGCAGAGGAGGGCGGGCTCAATGCCCTACGTAGAACCGTGTGCCACGTGGACGCCCAGAGTGGGGAGACCATAGGCTCTGAACACAGAGTCCCGGGTTCAAATCCCGGCTCTGCCACATAAATAATTCGTAAATGTATTAATTAAGTAACGTCACCTCTTCCTCAGTTTCTTTCCCTATAAAATGGAGATAAGAACCTAGCTGGGAGAGTTGCTGCAGAGACGGAATGAGTGAATCCATATGAAGCATTTAAGCAGCGCCGGGCACACTACCAGGACTCAGCGGATATTAGCTGTCATTATTACTGTTATTGTTTATATTGTTATTATTACAGAGTCATTAAAAATGATGAAGCAGGGCTGACCCTGTGGTCAAGTGCTTAAGTTCTCTTGCTCTGCTTCGGCAGCCCAGGGTTTCAAGGGTTCGGATCCTGGGTGTGGACCTAGTGCCGCCCATCAGGCCACGCTGAGGCAGCGTCCCACGTGCCACAACTAGAAGGACCTACAACTAGAATATACAACTATGTACCGGGCGGCTTTGAGGAGAAAAAAAAAAAGAAGATTGGCAACAGATGTTAGCTCAGGGCCAATCTTTAAAAAACAAATGACGAAGCAGCTCTCAATATATCAATAGAAAACAGTCTCCTTAAGAGAGTGTTAAGTTAGAAAATAAAAGCAACTAGTTAATATACACATTTTTGAAAAAGACATTTACAGGCTGTCACAAAAGCCACCAATCTAAGCGCTCCCCCCAAACCCACACAACTGAAACAAAATCTTCTTCCTCTGATCGTCCCTCCCACCTCATGCAGGGCCTCTGACACTGTCTACTCTGTTGCATTTTAAGAAGTTAGTAACGACCCATTCATGGAATGTTTTCACCCATTAATAAGGTGGGGCACCCGGTTTCAAGACGATTTGGAAGGCAGGACCCTGGGGAGGAGCTGTGGGGGAGCTGGGGGTGGGGGGTAGAATTTCTTATCAATCCGCCCCGTTGGGTCGCTTTTAAAATTCCCTCTTGGGAGCATAAGTTCCCACTTTGCCAGGGGAGGAGTGGGGTGTGAGTCAGAAGAAAGAAAAATAACAATAAAGCTGGAGGCTGATAAAAATAAAAATCCCCTTTGATCATCTTTCCCTGTCCCCCATGCCCCATGCAGAGGAAGCCACAGTGGAAGTTCTGCAGACGCAGTGACCAGACGGACAGGTGGGGAAACAGAGGCAGTGGGGGGGCACCTGCAGGGAGCTGTGAACCGAGAGGAGGCAGGAAGAGGCGGCGGTGGCAGTGTGGGTGGTGGGGTCCTGGAGCACCAGCAACCGGCGGTCTGTCTTCTGGGTGAACAGGAGCTGCGTGAGGGGTGGAGGCTAATGGGAGCTGGAAGGATCTCATGGGACCCACCAGTTCCCGGATGCTCGGGCCCATGCCTCTAAGGCCAGCTCATTTCTCAGATGGAAAAACGAAGGCTCAAGGTCACAAGAGCTGGAACATGGTCTTAGTGAGCCGGGCTGTGGGCAGACTGCTGGCTCCCTGAGGAGGAGGGGCTGCGCCAGGATTCCTGGTCCCAAGGGTAAAAGGGATTAGGGGCTGGGAATCTTGGATCTCAGGGGAGGAGGGGCTGGAGGATGGACTCCTGGGTCTGAGGGAGGAGGGGCTGGGGGATGGACTCCTGGGTCTGAGGGAGGAGGGGCTGGGGGATGGACTCCTGGGTCTGAGGGAGGAGGGGCTGGGGAATGGACTCCTGGGTCTGAGGGAGGAGGGGCTGGGGGATGGACCCTGGGTCTGAGGGAGGAGGGTCTCAGGGCCTGGACTCCAGGGTCTGAGGGACGAGGGTCTCAGGGCCTGGACTCCAGGGTCTGAGGGACGAGGGTCTCAGGGCCTGGACTCCAGGGTCTGAGGGAGGAGGGGCTGGGGGCCTGGACTCTTGGGTCTGAGGGAGGAGGGGCTGGGGCCTGGGACCCCTGGGTCTGAGGGAGGAGAGACTGAGGGCTTGGACTCCTGGTCTGAGGGACGAGGGTCTCAGGGCTGGACTCCTTGTCTGAGGGAGGAGGCACTGACAGGCACACGAAATCCCCGTACCTTAGTGAGGGCCTGGTTGGGCTCAGAGAAGTCCCCGCCCGGGATTCCCTGAAGGTGATTCAGCTCGAGCAGTCGGCTCCGTTCCTAGGGGAGGGCAAGACATCGCCGGTGACCACACCTCAGAGTCAGGACAGCCATCCCAGCATCTTTCCCTGATGCCAGGAGACACTTGGGGACAGGAAGGGATGGGATGCCGCAGGCAGCAGTGAGGACAGGCGGCCAGGTCTCACACAGGCAGCTTACCTGCGTCAGGGCCTGAAGGGCCTCCTCCTTCTTCCGGCTCAGCCCCCGGCTCTCAGCAGCCATCTGCTCCCCCAGCGACTTGAGCTGCTCCTCCAAGACCTGGATCCGGCGCTGCAGGGCACCCCCAGAGCCCCGGTTACTCAGGGTCCCAGGGTCCCGGGGTCCCCGGGTGGCTCCCACAGAACCAGGTCCTCCTTGAGAGCCTGGGGTGTGCTCCACCCCAGAACAGAGACTCTGGGATCTGGGTGCCTGGGAAGGGGTGGGGGACTCAGAGTCAAGCTCCCTGGTAGCTTCTTCCCTCTTAGGACCTAGATGAGACCTGGGGTGGGCTGGAGGGGATGGAAGATCAGACACACAGACAGAGACCGAGGGAGACAGAGACCCAGAGAGAGTCGTCGAGAACAGAGAGTGAGAGAAAGGGACAGACGGAGAGACAAACCAGAACAGATACAGAAAACAAGGACCAAGACAGACACCAAGAGACAGAGAAAGGAGACAAGAAAGAAACAGAACAGAGACAGACAGAAGCTGTGTGCGACAGAGGAAGGGGAAAGAGAGAGAGACAGGAAAAGATCCAGAAACAGGTGGGGAAAGGAGACCCATATCAGAACGGTCTAATCCAAAACTCTGTGTTAAATACAGTCAGATGTGTCGGCTTTTCCAGCAGGACTTGTCAGACCCTCGAATGTGAAGCTCCCAGAAGGACTTGTGGGAATGTCCTTTGGGACGAGGGTTGAGAGACACAGAGTGTAGTGGAGAAGACTGAGCAGGTTCAGATCCCAGCTCTGTCCTTCCCAAACAAGGTGACCTTGGACAAGATCATTTGAGCACCTTGACCTTCAGTTTCTTCATTTACAAAAGGGAAAAAATACGACTTGCCTCGTAGGATGGTTGTAAGGATTCAATGAGCAAATACTCATGAAACCTTTAAGACCATGCCTGGCACACGGTCATTGCTCGATAAATGTCAGCGGTGTTGTTACTGCTCCGAAGAACATGACACAGGTAGGAAATGAGGACAGAGACAGGGTCACATACAGAGTGGAGGAGACAGAGGGGAACAGCGAGGGAGGCAGGGCCAGGCCTGCCTGACTCACCCTGTGCTGCGCCACACTGGCCTGAAGTTCCCGGGCCTCGGGGTCCAGCGCCCGGGTCCCAGGGCTGTCCCGGTCCTCCTCCTCCCGCCGGCTCTCCCGCTCCAGTTGCTGGAACTCCAGGTCCTCGTAGGCACGCTGGGCCACGTCCAGCTGCTCCCTCATCTGTGGGTGGGAACCCCAAAGGGCTGGAGGCCTGGAGTCAGGGGTCCTGAGGGGTAGGGGGCTCGGGGCCTGAACTCTTAGGTGGGGGAGGAGGGGACTGAGGGCCTGGGCGTCTGGGTCCTGGGAGAGGAGTGGCCTGGACAGCAGGTCCCTGAGCGAGTCCGGGGGGCCCTCACCTCATGCACCCCCTGCATAAGCCGCTCCCGCTGGTCCTCTGGCTGTGACTCGAGCTGTCCCTGGGCCTCCTGGAGTTTCCGGCGCAGACCCTCCACACGAGCCCGCTCCTGGCTCAGCCGCCTCTGCTCCTGAAAGGACAGCCAGCCTCTGAGCACAGAAAGGGAAATAGAGGCCCCAAGGGCCAGGGCAGCCGGCTCACAGACCTCTGCCTGGGGTGTTGGCTCCAGGAGGGCAGGGACCCCGTCTGTCTCAGTCACTCTTGTACAGGCCTGTCCCAGAGTAGGCGCCAAGTAAACGGTTATTTAAGAAATGAATGAAAGAATGAATGCAAAACGTATCCATGCTGGGTGATTGAGACTGGGGCCCAGAGCAGGGTCGCTCCAGGTGGGGACACAGCCAGTTACAGCCTGGGACAATCAGCACAGTGAAACACAGAGACTACAGGAACCCTGAAGGGGGAGCAGTTTCTACTGGGGTAATCCAAGGCTTCCTGGATGGGAGGATTTGAAGGTGAGCCTCAAAAATCAGGGAGCATTCAGACCTGGGGACAAAGAGGGAGCTGGAAGGGCATTTTGGACTGAGGGAACAGCATGTCACAAATGCACCATGAAGTTGAAAAGTACAGGAAGTTTAGAGGGCAAACTCGGGTCAGAGAAGAAGATGTGGTGGAGGGAAGACATGGGGAGCTGGTGGGAGACAGCAGTGGAAAGGTGGGTACCACACAGCTCACATCGGGTTTCGTCAACCAGGCGGAGGAGCCCCTATCCTGGGGCAATGGGGAGCCAAGGAAGGATTGAAAGGCTAGAGTAGGATCTGGGTGTGGAACGATTCCTCTGGGAGATGGATTCAAGGGGGTGAGACCAGCTCTTTCATGAGTCCTCCAAACAATGAGGATGAGACCTAAACCGGGTCTGGGCAGCGAGGATGCAAAGGAGACGGACCAGAGAGAGAGGTTCAGGGAGCAGAGAGACAGGACATGTTGACTGACAGGCTTGGGGTCAGTGAGAGGGAGGTGTGAGGAGAAGGGCCAGGACGGCGGCCTGGTGACCAAAGGGACAGTGAGATAGAGACAATGTGGAAAAGGGAGTTGCTGAGGTCAGTTTTCTATCCAAAATACAATGATAAGGTGAATGATAAGGGGTCAGATGGAAGAGGGGCTGTGAGATGGACTCCTGGGTCTGAAGGAGGAGAGGCTGGGGGCCTGGACTCCTGGGTCTGAGGGAGGAGGGGCTGGGGGCCTGGACTCCTGCCTCTGAGGGAGGAGGGGCTGGGGGCCTGGACCCCTGGGTCTGAGGGAGGAGGGGCTGGGGGCCTGGACCCCTGGGTCTGAGGGAGGAGAGACTGGGGGCCTGGACTCCTGGGTCTGAGGGAGGAGGGGCTGGGACCTGGACCCCTGGGTCCTTGGGGAGGAAGGAGCATCTAGGACCCAGTATCCTAGGAAGCAGCACACACAGGAGGGAATTTCAGGAGGGAATCAGGGCTGGGAGAAATATAGGTTCTCTGAGCGTCAGTGAAGACCCAGACCCAGCCACAGGAAATTGCCATGTATATGATAAAGGCAAAGAAAAAGACTGATAGAATTACAGCACCCATTTTCCAACCTATAACGATAACCAATCTAAGCAATGACCACCGAGAGATCTTAAAGCTTTAGGTAAACGATTCTTATGAAGGGATCAGAGCGAGCTCGCTGAGGTCTGGACAGCCAGAGAGGATTTCCCCCGACTCGGCGTGCGGGAAGTACTAACGCGCATCTGACTCTGATCCAGCCTCGACATGCAACCAACACCTGCTCGCACAAGAGGAACACAGTAAAGGACATCACAGGCACACAGCCAGCCCCTCCTTGACTGAGAAACAGAAGACTTGGTTTCTCCAACAAATCGTATGGGGAGCAAACCATACAGTGAGCAGGAACCATCAAGGTGAAACAAGACATACGAGACATTTCAACCAATTACAACACACTCACCTTTTGGGGGCCTGATTCAAACAGCCAGTGGCTAACTGGCCTTTTTGAGACAATCTAGGAAACCTGAAAACCGACTGGAAATGAGACGACATGAAGAACTTAATTTTTAAGGGGTGATGACGATATCGTGATAATCTTTCTAAAAAGGAGTTCTTATCTATAAGATAAGAACTAAAGGATTTACAGGCAAGATGATGTCTGGGACTGGCTTTTAAAATTAGGGACCTAGGCACAGGGAATCAAATTGAGGGATATGAAACAAGAACAGAAGATTAATCACAGCTGAAGCTGGTGAGCACCCCACACCGCAGCCCCCTGACTATTCTATTTTCGTTGGTTTGACGTTTTTCACAACATGACATTTAAAGAGCAAAGAGAGATTGACAAAGGAAGAGGCCCCAGTGAGTCAGGCCCCAGAATCATGGTGGGGAGAGAGGGGGAAAACAAGGAGAGGCATCTACCACACACACCCCTCCCCCCCCACCCAAGTATCCATATTTGGGGAATGGGGTCACCCCATGGGCCCAGGTCCCAGGAGCACCACCAGGAAAATCCATCCGACAAGGAAGGAAACTGATGATGAAGACCACGCCGGCCAAACGGACCTGTTCCCGCTGCTCCTGGGCGCCCTGCTCCGTGTCCACCCGCTGCCCGAGCAGGTCCCGGAGCTTGTCCTCCTCCCGCCGAGCGGCCACTCGCTCCCCAGCCAGCTCGCCCCGCAGCAGGGCCACTTCCACCTCCATCTGCGGAGAGAATGCGAGGGCTGGTGCCCAGAGGCCTGGGTCCAAGGACGGAGGGGGCTGGGGGCTGAGACTCCTGGGTCTGAGGGCGTCCTGGGAGCCTGGCCTTGCAGGTGCCCAGGAGTTGGGCCAGACTTCCCCAAGGTCCGCAGCCTCACCTCGATCCTCAGCTCCTTCCTCTGGCGCTGTAGCTCCTTCACTCTTTGCTCCATCAGGGCCACGCGAGTCAGTGCCTCCAGCTGCTGCGCTCGAAGCCGCCGCGCCGCCCCTCGCACCCCTTCCCAAGACTGGGAGGATGAGGGGGGCGTGGCCGGGAGCTGCACGGGAGGTGGAGCCTCCGCCTGAGGTTGAAGAGGGCGTGGTCAAGTGGAGAGGCCTCGCCCCCCGGAGTCACCAAGTAGGTCTGTTCCCCACCACACATGACCCTCAGGGGGTCTGAGTCGGCCTGACTCAACCACCGCGCTCTTATACTCAGTTGGGGGAGGGTGCAGGTCCGGGGCCACCCGGCCCCAGGAGCAGGCCCAGGGGCTCGCCGTCCAGGGAAGCATAAGAAACCCACTCAAGGAAGGCTTTTTTCTCCATCCAGGTCCCCTTCTCTGGGCGTCCCGTCCTCCTAGGCCCTGGACCTCTCGCTCTCTCTCCCGAATCTCTCTGAGTCTTTCCTCCTGTTTCCCTGGACTTGGTCCCTCCAGCCCAGTATCTGTCTTCTGTCTCTGCATCGCTAGGTCTCTCTCCCCCTCGGAGTGTCGCCCTCTCTCAAGGTCTCTCTGTCTCTGTTTCTGTCTCTCTGAGCATCTCTGCCCTTTGTTTCTGCGTTTCTGTTTGCGTCGCTATTCCCATCTCTCTGAGTCCCCGTCTCTCGATCTCTCTCTCTCTGGTCTGTCTGTGTCTCTGTCTCTTTTGGGTCTCTTTGGGTCTTTGTCTCTCAGTCTCCCTGTCTCCGGGTCTCTGTCTATCAGGGGGTATAGCTGTCTCTCGATGTCTCTGAGTCTCTCTGGCTCCGTCTCTGACTCTCAGGAGTCTCCATATCTCTGAGGCTCTCTCTCTGTCTCCGGGTCTCTGTCTGTCTGGTCTCTCTATACCTGTCTCTCTGTGTCTGTCATCCGCTTGGGTCTGTGTGTCTTTCTGGGTCCCCCCGTGGCCCTCGCCCTCCAGGTCCCTCACCGCGTCGCGGCTGCTCTCCGTGCTGCTGCCTTCTCCCACTTCTTCCTCTTCCTCCGCCTGCTGCTCGGCTCCTCGGCCGCTCGGACGCTCCGCCGGGGCCTCGGGCGCCTCCTGCTCGCGGGGGTCCTCGGGGTGCTCCCGGGACTGGGCAGCCCCTTGGGGCCGGACCTCCGCGTCGCATTCCGGGACCGACGGCGGCTGGGTCCCCTTTTCGGGGCTGCTCGGCGTCCCCATGGCCGCTCGGTGCTCCTGCGGAGTGGGCGGGGCCCGAGGCTCCGGGGGCGTGGCCTGGCGGCGAGGGGCGGGGCCCGAGGCCAGAGCGCGCACCCGACGGCTCTGCTCCAGGAGGCGGGGCCTAAGGGTTCAAAGGCTGGAGCTGAGCATCCCGGGGGCGTGACCTGGAGTTCCCGGGGGCGGGGGGGGGGGGGGGGGGGCGCTCCTAGGGCGCCACGCCCCCGGAGGCGGGACCGGAATTTGAGTCCCGGGTCCTAGCCCGCCCCCTACCGGCCTCTTCCTGCTATCCAGGTGTTCAGCCCTGTACGCTCCCGGCAGCCCCGCGCAACCCTTGGACCACCTTGGAGCGACCCCGTCTCCTTCTCCCTCGGGGACTCAGGAGTCCCAGCTCCCGCCCCCTCCTCCCCGGGGCCAGGTAATCTTGGCTCCGACCCCAATGTAAGGGAGCAGCGCCCATGCCATCTCACCCAGGGGTCCGGGAATCGGGGCTCCTAGTCTCCCCGTCTCTGGACCAACCAGGGGTCTGAGTCCTCTGCTCCTCCCGGGAGCGAGATTCCTGAACTCCCGCCTCCTCCTCTCCCGCAGACCCAGGCGGCCGAATCTCCGGCCCCCGCCGCCCCGGCAGCCCCGGCCCCCTCACCTGCTCCGGCGCGCTCCTCTGCGCTCTGGGCGCCGCAGTGTCTGCCTACGAGACAGGTGGCTGGGGAAGAGGGAGGAGAGACAGGCTGCTCGGTCCCCCTCCCCAGCAGCCCGGAAGTGGAGGGGGGGACAACAGGTCCAACAGCTCCCAAGGGAGGAGGGAGCGACCAGCTTGCCCCACCCGTGGCGGCCGCGGCCGGCCGTGGCAGGCGGCCCCACCAGCCCCACCCTCGGGAAACCCAGCATCACGACCCCCCTCTGCCTCCAGCTTCGCAATTCCTGCCCCCTGGAGGGCCAGGCGTTCTGATCACCTATGTATCAGCGCCTCCCTAATGCCCAGACCCTGGGAATCCTGAAAGGAAGAGGGGAACAGAAATAGGGGCCTCTCCCCTCTAATAAGCCCTTTAGAAGGGCCCCGACCGGTTTGGGGAGCTGGGCAAGGGGAGGGGGTGCCCTGAGCTGAGTCAGAGACCCGCCCAGAGACAGGGGGAAGTGTGGCCCCCCCACTTTGCTATGGGGTGAAGGGCAGAGGTTAAAGGTCTCAGCCAGACCCTTTCCTCCTCTCTGGGCAAAAACAGGAAAATAACTAGCATGTGAGAAGGGACTATTGGATGTTAGGAGCTGTGCTAAACACTTTATACACGTTAATTTAATTTTGTCCTCACAGCGCACGAGAAAGGGATTTCCATCTCCATTTTATAGTTGGGGAAACTGAAGCTGATGGGGGAAAGTGTGCCCAAAGTCTACACATGTTGTTAATAATGTTAACTCCAGATTTGTTCTCTGGAAAATCCATGTTCTTAATCATTAGGCATTCCGTCACGCCAAGCCAGGAAGTGCCTGGAAGATCATCCCAAATGACAGTAACAATAATAATTAACACGGATGGGAAGTGCGCCCTGCAGGGAGTGTGCCAAACAACTCATACGTATGGACTCTCTGATCGCCCCAACACCCTGTGATTAGTGTTATTACTGGCATTTTACAGATGAGGAAACTGAGGCCTGGAGAAGGGAAGTACCTCATCCTGGGTCTCGCAGGGGCAAGTGGCTCAAAGTCAAGATGGAGTTCTAACCCAAGGAGCTGAGAAGCCCTGCGCCAGATAGCTGTTGGCTTCTGATCTTATGAGTCAGAAAATCTCCTCCTTCCGGGCTCCCTGGACCTTCACCCTGCCCCACTCCCTGGCCTCTGCAGGGACCCAAACTAACCACCTCAGCCCAGAAACCCAACTGGTTCCCCCAGGAAACGGAGAGAAGGCAGATTCAGAGCAAAACAAAAAAAGATTTTTATTTAAGAAGTTCGAGGGGCTGGTGAGGGAGGGGAAGAGGAGAGAGACTGCCGTGATGACACCTCTCCCCACCCCTCTCCTAGTGCATTCTTAACGGATCTGAGCACCTGACAGAGACCTGGTCACGAAGGGGCTGTCTGGATCCCACAGCGCAAGTTCGCTGGGACAGCAAAGTCTGAAAGGGAGAAGCCAAGGGTGAAGCTAAGGGGCCAGGCAGAGCCTCCAGGCTGGGGACCCAGAAATCTTAAGAGCCCTTCTCTTTGGGGAAACTAGAATTCTGACCCTGAGGCCCCTCCTCCCTCAGACTCAGGGGTCCAGGCCCCAGCCCCTCCTCCCTCAGACCTTGACTCCAGGCCCCAGCCCCTCCTCCCTCAAACCTTGACTCCAGGACCCAGCCCCTCCTTCCTTAGACCCAGGAGTCCAAGCGTCAGCCCCTCCTCCCTCAGACCCAGGAGTCCAGGCCCCCGGCCCCTCCTCCCTCAGACCCAGGAGTCCAGGTCCCAGCCCCTCCTCCCTCAGACCCAGGAGTCCAGGCCCCCAACTGCTCACCTATTTGCTGAGGCTTGGGCAAGTTCAGGTTGTCCATGACCTTGACAAACTCTTCACAGCTGAGGGTAAGCCTAGGGTTCAGAGTCCGCTCCTCCTCCACAGTGGACACTGTGAGCCCTAGTGGCCAAGGGAGGGGGAGCAATGTTGACTGGTCCAGTGTCTCAGGCCTCCCAGAACTACATTTCCCAGGAAGCCTCAGGATGCCTCTCCTGACTGGGACTCACAGGCTCTTCCCAATATGTTCCTGAGACCTCTTTCCCTCCTCAACAGGCACTATGGGAAATGTAGTTTCCCACAGTTCCCTACGATCTTTAGTGAAGTCCCAGGAAAACTCATGCCCTCTGCAATTCTAGGAGTCGTAGTGTCTACAGCCACACTCAGTACACCTAAAAGCACTTGATCTGTTTGGCCAGAGCACTCTGGGAATGGTAGTCTCCACGCCCCATGAGGATTATAGCAGTTGGGTGCTCGTTCTAAAACAGTTAAGCCCCACTCCTCCTCCAGGAAGCCCTCACCGTGGTAATCATGAGCAGGGTAGATCAGACAGTCTCCTGGAAGTGTGAAGATCTTTTCGTGAACCGAGTGGTACAAGGTCTTAGCACAGCCTGGGGACGGAAAGCTCAGAGGTCAGTGTGGATCAAGGGGAGGAGAGAAGCCCCCTAACCCCTTCCCTCAGGAAAAGGGTGGGAGGATACACTCACTGTTGGCTAAAGCCTCTCCCTCATTTCCTGCCAGTACCCCACTGTCTAGGTAGAGAAGGAGAGGGAAGGGCATTCTGGGCAGGTGGAACAGCAAATACAAAGAACTGGGAACGGTGAGAAATTCAGCATGGCTGTAAATAAGGTTGGAAAGAGACCCTGAAGCACCAAGGAGCTGTGCCCTCACTCTGGGCAGGGAAGCAGGACTAGAAGGTGAGAAACTGAAGACACGAGGCCAAGGAGGAGAATGGAGCCATGGTGCCGACCAGAAGCTCTGAGTCCTGAGCTGGAGCAGGGGCAAACCTCTCTGGAATGTTCTTCAACCTTTCACTTCAGCCTAAATCCTTCCATTTCATGACTGTGTTACGGAATGGATAAAGGGAGGTTAGGAGCCGCAGAGAGAAAAAGACAGAGACCAAGATGGAGAGAGAATGAGACACGGAAGAGGAAGCCAGAGGCAGCCTGGGGATCTGGTTACCCACGGGGCTCATTGTGGTTCCATCCTTCCTCTCTCATCCAGCCTCACTCTCCTCCCGCAAGGCAACTACGTCCTTCCCATCTAGTGCCAACCCCACATTCACACACACACACTCAAAGGGCAGCTACGCCCTGAGATTCTGAAACCAAACTTCCTTCCCACAGCGAAATTCTGGAATCTAACCGCCCCCAGCAGCTAAACCCCACATGTAACACTGCCCACATGCAATTAAACCGCTGAATCTAGCAACTTCCTAGAAGCTAAACTCCTGAATCCTCCACATCCTCCCCCTGCCACACCTCCAGCAGCTAACCCCCTTACGGGCTTTTAAAATAGGTCCACGAGGGGCTGACCCCGTGGCCGAGTGGTTAAGTTCGCGCGCTCCACTGCAGGCGGCCCAGTGTTTCATTGGTTTGAATCCTGGGCGTGGACGTGGCACTGCTCATCAGACCACGCTGAGGCAGCGTCCCACATGCCACAACTAAAAGGACCCACAACGAAGAATATACAACTATGTACTGGGGGGCTTTGGGGAGAAAAAGGAAAAATAAAATCTTAAATAAATTAATTAATTAATTAATTAAATTAAATAAAATAGGTCCACGAACTCTGTGACACTGTTCTCTTCAAAATGTGACTCTTTATTCCCCTCACTCACACTTAGTGGTCTGGACTAAGTGACTTGCATCTAATAAATAGGATATTACAGAAATGACGGAGTTTAACTTCTGAGACTAGGTCATTTCAAAAAATGTTAGCGCTCTGTCAGTCGGTCTCTCTCTCTCTCTCTCTGATCATTCCTTCTAGGAGGATCCAGCTGCCATGTCATGAAGACACTCGAGCAGCCCCATGGAGAGGTCCACGGGATGAGGAACTGAGGCTCCTGCCAGCAACCAGTGCCAGCTTGCTGGCCATGCGAGGGGGCCGCCTTGGAAGCAGACCCTGTAGCCCCGGTCAAGCTTTCAGATGACTGCAGCCCAGGCCAGCAGCTTGAGAGATCCTGAGCAATCTCATGAGAGACCCTGAGCAAGAACCAGCCGGCTAAGCTGCTCCCAGAATCCTGACTCTCAGAAACGGTGTGATATAACAAACACTAATCATAGTTTTTTTGTTTTTTTTTTTGAGGAAGATTAGCCCTGAGCTAACATCTGCCGCCAATCCTCCTCTTTTTGCTGAGGAAGACTGGTCCTGAGCTAACATCTATGCCCATCTTCCTCTACTTTATATGTGGGGCGCCTACCACAGCATGGCATGCCAAGTGGTGCCATATCCGCACCCAGGATCTGAACCGGCGAACCCCGGGCCGCCAAAGCGGAATGTGCGCACTTAACCGCTGCGCCACCGGGCCGGCCCCTAATCATTGTTTTAAGTCACTATGTTCTGGGGTAATTTGTTTCACACTAATAGATAATTAACACACCCCTGAACCTAACTGTCCCCTAACCCCTCAATCTAACTGTCCCTCATCAGCTCACCCCTGAATGAACTCTCCTCCAACTCCAGCAGGTAAACTTCTTCAATCTACTCCTGACCCCCTAAAAGTCTAACACGCATTCATTAATTCTTGCAACTGCTACCTAAGACCCTGGCACGCACATAAGTATACTAAGATCTGGAGCTGGGGAAAGGGGCCTGTGACCTTGCTGGAAGTCCGTCCGCCCACACCCCCGGATGAGCAGGGCATCTCCAGTGAAGGCCATGCTGTGGTCATTCAGGACGAAGGTGACACAGCCTGGGGTGTGGCCGGGGCTGGCCCGGGTCTCCAAGGCCTGGCAGAGAGAGAGAGACAGACAGTCACCAACAAAACAATGGCTCTGCCCTCATGGTGCAATTGTCCCCAGAAGAGCCCACCCCAGGGTCACATCTAGATTATCTTTTTTTCTTTTTTTTAAACGTTCCTATTTTTTTTTTTTTAAGATTTTATTTTTTTCCTTTTTCTCCCCAAAGCCCCCGGGTACATAGTTGTATATTCTTCATTGTGGGTCCCTCTAGTTGTGGCATGTGGGACGCTGCCTCAGCGTGGTTTGATGAGCAGTGCCATGTCCGCACCCAGGACTCGAACCAACGATACACTGGGCCGCCTGCAGTGAAGCGCGTGAACTTAACCACTTGGCCACGGGGCCAGCCCCTTCATATTTTTTTTTTTAAGATTTTATTTTTTTCCTTAGATTATCTTTTTTTTTTTTTTTTAAAGATTTTATTTT